AGGGCTCTTGAACGAAATTACTCGAGCAGACTTGATGGAAAGTGATCCTGGTGTTGAAAAATCTCCTTCGAGACACAGACGTCTTGGCATAGGAAATCATCAATTATCCATATGGAGTTCGAGAAGGATTCAAAATGGTTTCACTGATAATTTCATGCGAAATAATATCAAAGGTCAGAAGGGTGAGTACACAAATAAATAGAAGGCTTAAATAAATCCACGTTGAACAACGCTCAAATCATATGATCTCAGTTTGTGACGAAGCATTATCGAATGAATTTACAGTTTGAAATTTGTTTCAACATTGAAACTGGCGGTGTATTCTTAACACGTAGTGCTCAAGTGTATCTGAAATGTGATGGATCAACACAGTTCCATTAGACTTCGATAAGAAAACAAGATTTGAAAGAAAGCATCTACAAAGGTTGTTTATCACTGAATCACCATATTGTCTTCGACAAGCTTAAATCCCTGCAAAAATCAGCGATCACAACCTATTCTTGCATAGATTGTGTTTTCTTATGAATTCCATCCGACAAGATATAGAATTATCATGTTATTTCAAGAGTCGGACAAAAAGTGATACATGCCTAATTGGTTTTGTGGTGTCAACAATTTGTTTGGTTATTCACATGAACATATGCCTTGCTATGAAATAATTGAAATGCGTCTACTTACAATCAACTATTTCTTGATTGCTTTCTTGATGTAATACGTCATTCCGCACAGATGTTCTCAAGCATTTGAAGATGAGTTTGACCAACCACAGAACAATCAAGCAGAGAGCATTATGCAGACTACGAAGAAGTCGTTCAGAAACGGAACGGCCTGACTTAGGATGTTATTTGACTCCACTTCTTCCCTTGCCATCCTATGTCACTTTTAGAATTTCCTTTCGCATTGGGGCATTGCTATTTTTAACAGAAGACTGTTTTCAATACATTGACAGATGTATCATTTGATTGTCAATGCTATCATTCTCCAATGTACAATCTGAATTCTTTATTTACTTGTTTCTAGTCAATTATGGAGCATAGACGAACAGGTAGAAATACAAGAAAAGCAACGAGAAACTTACATTACCGAAAGATTTTAGACATATTTGAACTCATGAATAGGAGAGATTTCATATTACTAGCTGTTATGCCTACCCACGTGTGCTCTTCAGCAAATAGCGAATGATCTGTAGACATTCTCGTAACTAGGTGATTGGCAAGCGTGAGTTACTCAAGGATGGTCGGTGACTGAGAAACGAATCGGATGCAATGTTTTTGAATTGTTCAAGAGCAGCGTCAGTTTGCTTCGCAAAATATATTCAGCTAATGCTAATAAGCTGATCAGTGATGAAGCTATCAACCTGTGGATCATATTATCCAACGTTTATGTAGCACCTTGGCAGAGAGCAGCAACTAGTTACCACATCAAACTTACACTAGTTCGCACATTCATCGGTTAGATCATAGTGAAATCTGTTCTGAAAATGTAATCGATTCATGGTTACAAGACGAAATTGTTGGAACACACTTGATGAAATAATGAATCAATATGAACAAATGCGCCGTAAGGTATTGATATCTTCGAGTAGGAACATTTTAGTGTGCCGCGCTACCTCATTTGAAGAGTCTCAAAATTGGTTTATATCGGTGACATGACCGTTTTCGTTGTGGTTTGAATTTTGAGCGAGGTAAAAGCATTAGCATGTATACAATAGTATAAGAATAGAAGAATAAATAAATGCATCAAAAGAATTTCTCTATAAACTAGCGTAGGATCTGTCGATTATGAATGAAATGCATTGAAAGTGGCCTATTTCTTTCTCAAATACACGTAAATCGATTGGTTCAGAAAACATTGGAGGACTTTGATACTTAACAGAGAATAGACCCTGTGATGGCTGTCTATTCATTTAAATTTTGCTCAAATACAACTGACCAGGTGAATATCACGGTATGTAGTCATTCACTCTTTGTATGATGAAATTTTATAATGAAGAGAACCTTTTCGTTGACCCTCAGCAAAAATAAAATGAATACTTGAAAATTAAAATTATTCAAAGATCAACGGTCAATGTCGACAATGAATTTTGCGAGAAAGAACGGCAAAACGATAGTTACTCATTCGCCAAATGTTGTCTAGTCATTGAGGTAATTGGTAAATGTCATTTACTCGGTATTGTATCATTTACATCGGTATGATATTTCGTAGCGCTTTTCTCGCTGTTCTCGAAATAGAAGAAAATTGTACGGAAAGAGCTTATCTATCTTAGCAACAGTCGAAACTTGAAAATCTTTTTAAGGACGTGAAATAATCATACTGAAGAATTCTGCGAAATAGTAATAGAAATACTTAAAATGTAGTATTATTTTATTTTTTATTTTTTGGTTCGATTGTAGTTTCTGCTTCACTAGTATGATTCTCGTTTTCTGATCATCATGATATTGAAGAAATAAGTCATATGCATGGAATCAATCTGTATTTTGCTGGATCTCGTCGGCGAACTGATATCTGATTGCACTTCAATTTGATTATGAACATTCAACAAGGAGGGTCATCAACGATATGGAAAGAAAGACGGTAGAAAGCACCACATGCCTAATAGATTGAGAGAAAACAGGCGCACGAGCGCAGAGTAAATCAGAGAGAAACTCTTTGTTTGCTTGCATAATTCTTGCATAACTTTATGAAGATCCAGAGTGAAATTGAACTACATATAGTTGATATTTTTCAAGCGAACACACTCTATACATGTCTTCCTTTAAACATTGATATTCTTGCCAATCCTTCTCAGAAAACATTCGTTCATATATAGTAAGAAAGAACATCGAATTTAGCATCCTTTGCATCATTTTTGACAAAAATTTCAATTGATCTGCTGAATGTGTTTGTTAATTGAACAATGCAAGAAGAACTATATTGCTGTTTGCGATTCTATCCATAATGAGAATGTTCATCATGTTTCACATTCTAATCACAATGGAATCGCACTGAAAATTTCTTCGAATGAACACAAATCATTTTTTTGCTTCTGCAATGCACTTACAAAAACCGAAAGAATGTGGTGATCAATATGCATTCGCTTATGCATGGAAAAAATTGCCTTTTCATAAATGCGTGTCATCATGTACGAGAATAGGATAAAAAAACAAGTAAGACGATCTTTTTTTTTACTTTTTTTCTCTGTACCATTAATTGTTTCCATGAGCCAATCTCTACTAAGCAAAAGAATGCAAGTAAATTTGAATATAGGTGAGTAGGAGGGTGTTGAACAAGAGAGAATCATTACCATCAGCTTCATGTATCTATCTATCCATCCAGATCAGAGGATCTATCTTTCTCTCTCGGTGGATACTTGATGAGTTGTTTGTCCAAGACAAGTCGCTTTTTTGCGATGTTTTTTTCTGATGATTCCAAGAAAAGAACATAGAATGGAATGAAAACTACACGTAAGCATTGTGTTTGAGCATAATATCGGGTGCCAACAAAACTTATCATAGAACAGTATTGTCTGCAGTCCCTTACATTTTTGATTGAGAAGCAGATCGAACTTGTGATCTTTTCTATTAATCGTGTTCGCTAATTCTCACTCATATCTTGAATATCTTCCGTAAAATGTTAATTTGATGAAATCTCCGCATTGGCCGAGCCATCAAACGCTGTGTTCGAAAAGATACGAATTCAATGTTACTTCAACATACGTTTTTGCTGTGAATGGAAAAGGCACAATCGCTTCCAATCGGTCGAAAATCAACGTCACATGCTTGTCTTTTTTTATGCATATTTTCCTCTGTTTAATCGAATTCATTTTTGTAGATTTCTTCAACTGTTTCAGAGCTAGTTCCTTCATAGCGAGTGCTATGAAGAAGCTAGAGAATGAATAGTTGTGCATTCGATATATCTGCTAGATCACTATCAGATATTTGAAATTCGACGGATGTATGTTGTTTCGTACCTGAAATATTCGACTTGATATTGATCAACGTCGGCGTCAAATACAAACACGTTTGCTGATTTGACAGAAAGAAAAACGACCTTCATTTTACTGATAACGTGGAGATTTCTTACTCTGCAAGTAATTCATAATTGGTGACATGACTCTTTCCTTCTAAAACATTGCAAGTTGACGAGCGACAAATAGATATGAAGATAAGCAAGTCAGAAACTTCTCAAATTACAAATTAATTCAAGAGTGGCTTGCCTTGCACATCTCTGAAAACATTTTCCAAAATCCAAACCAAATCACTGGGGGTTGTCTATATTTACAAAATAGAATTAAAAAGATCATACTGACAAGTTGAATATTTGAATTGAAATATGATTTATCAGATAATTCTCCCTTTATTATGAAACAGTGTATGGAAGCAACAGGGTAAAAATACTTCGAAAGTCAAACACCACACTTATAATAGCAGGAAACTATTGGCATATGAAACTAATATAATGGTGTCTCATTTTACTTAACCTATTTCGGAATTGGCGGCCACTTAAATTCATCGGCAAACATAAAACAGGTACCTATAAGCATAAGATATTTCGAGTTAAAATGCTGTTATTGGGGTTTCTTTGGAAAATACCGTCGTGTGTATGTGTAAAGAACTCAATAAGAAGACTCTGACTTTGAGGTAATCGAGCATGAGCACATAGTCATCTGTGACTATCTTACTCGTCCAGAAATCCGCTAATAACCAAACGATTAAGTTACCGGAGCGAAATAACTTGCGCCGTTTTCCTTCTTACACGGATGTACTAGACTGATGTTCAAAAGCAAGAAAATATAATCTTTATCCTGCTTTATGTTACTAGTGCTGTACGATCTAATCAGCAGATTCTTTCAAACGTTGGACCAATCGAAATCCATCCTAGGAAGCATATCGATAATCAAACCTTTTTGCATATTTATTAAAATTCTTAATTATAATTTATATAATCATCTCGTTAAACGTCTCTAGAAAAGATTATTTGTTGAATATGATTTTGTATTCCAATACTCATCACTGTAGACTTTAGGCTCCTAATGATAATTGAATGCCATGCTTTTCTGCACTATCTATAAACCATTTCTCAACGACTTTGTCTTTATCATTAAAAATTAGATGCCCACCAGGATTAGATAAAACTGTTTGTTGTCCAGCAGCCACATAATAAACATCAGGATAACTTGAAATGATTGAAAAATGTGCATGGAACCCAGAATAACCCAAGCCACCACTAAATTGATAAGGACCTTCTTTTTCTTCACCTGAATTTGGTAGTCTTTGAATTATTTGATTTAAATCTCCCCATTGTTCAAAAGATAGTGACCAAACTGGGTTTGGACGACCAGAATAAAGATATATAGTTGCAAATGGATCCGACAATTCTTCTTCCATCGTTGCGACACTGAATTCATAAGATAACAACGTAAAACTGCATAGAACAACAAAACGTATGAAGATAAAATGCGCCATGTGTTTTTTTAATGAGGTCAAGGTGAGTCGAGAAAGAGAAATAAAAAAATGATAGAGCAAAGATATTTTCGATAGGAACGAGAAAAAAGCATTAAAATTGTCACAGAACAGTAAGAGGAAAGGACAAAGAAAGTCCAAAATGAAGTCCAACGGAGGAAAGTTAAGAAATATCTTTTCTTTTTCGAAATTAAAAATAGAAGGTACTAGAAAGAAAGGGAGAAATTTAATATACGCGTGAAAAAACAACATCTATCAAATTACAATCGAGGTTGTGCGAACTTTCGGGATTATGATCAAAAATTACGCTTTTCGACATTACACTTCAGTGTGATGCATGTTCTCCCTTATTTGTAGCTTCAGTCATGGACATTACGTACATCATCCACTCGATTTTAACTTATTCTCTCATTTTTTTTTCACAGAACGAAAGCAATACCAAATATGTGATATAGGTAATATCAATAATCGTTACAAAAAAAATGAAAAGAAAAAGTGCAAAGTTTCGTAATATTGTGCTACTATATGTGTGAGTAAAAAGAAGACATACACTTTCATCTACATCCACACTTTAAGAATACTTTCAAGCTACTCTATTCTATCGATATGTAGGTGATTATCTTGAATATCAATGTCTCAGTTGCTCGCCTTGAGGTCTCAAACAGAAAAACAGACAAGCAAATTTTATGTCTCTAGGTTGTCTTTGCATACTAGATGTATTATAATTAAATTTTAACGAGTTAGAAAATATAATTAATATCTTCATTGTGTACAGTGAATATATATGTTTCGAAAATTGTCTAAAGACACTGTAAAAATTTGAGTTACTTCATTTTCACTGCTTATTTTTAGATTCGAAAAGCAATGGCCGTGCCTGTTTGAGAGTGTATGGGTGATTGTTGGTGAGAATCCCTCTTATATATCATACTCACCTACGTACTCTCTACTCTCCCAATGAATGATAGACTCAAATAGAATGAAGATAAATTTTTTCATAATATCCTCAGTTTTATTGGATTCAAGTACTCTTACTACTAGTACACAGAACAGATTTAAAAGATGATTATCGCATACAAATGAATAATCGGATAATAAAATTATAAGATGGAAAATTAGAGCAACCGTGGAGTTTTATCGCTATCTCAAAGCTGAAATGATATGATTCGATTGAGAATCCATGACAAACATTGTTTACAAATACGATCAAGGTCACGCTTGAAAATAATTCGAAAATCAACACGATATTTTCGGACATAGTCTGACAGATGGCTCTTGAAGTAGATATTCGGCTGTTGAAAGGCACGAAAGAGATAATGATTCCAAAAAATTTGACAAGCTTGAGTTAAGACTTACTGACCAACGATTCATATTTCATGTATTTACTGCAAGAAAATGAACTCATCGCCTAGCATATTTTTATAGAGTTGAGCTCTGCATGTAGTCGGCCTACCAACACTCATCTTGTGTGTTTACTCTTTCTACAAACCTTGATTGCAGCACATGTAAATTTTGATCAGAATGCGATGATGAGACCATCATTTTATTTGTTTTCTCATCCGTGAAGATTGTTTACTTCCTGGAATTTTAGGTTTAAGAGTAATCTCATTGTTCACGAATTCTTCCATAGTAAAAGGCGTCATGTACAAGAATGTGCATTTCGTTTACTCTGAAAAGAATGATCAGGTATCCAGGGAAACCATTGCTCTTATCTATCAACTCGAGCATTCTGTTTGATGAGTACATCATTTACATGTTGACTTCAAGATTCGTAAACTAATTGCCAAAAGCAAATATAGACAGAGTGTATCGTTGTAGAAAAAAGATTTTTCAAGGTCTTTTAAAAATATGCTTAATACTTGTCTAATCTTTTGCACGGATGATCACATGATGTTTATGCAAGTAATTTAAAATTTTATAATAAGCAACCCATCAATGAAATAAAAAGGATCTTTATGTGCGATGCAAAGTCTTCATTTGTATACCACTATCACAGAGTGTATCAATGTGAGAGATACTGTTATTTTCACTTGGTATAAATGATTGTCGTTCTTTACTTTTGTTAAACGTTTTCTTGAAAAACTAAATGTAACAGTATGGGAAAAGATAATTTTTCCAAGATACAAATTGAACATGATAAATCCGGTTCGGTTGAGTTATAAAGCACAAGCTTCTCTTCTATCCGAAGCTTTCCCAAGCCTTTTAGCAAGCAAGATAGTCGAGAGATCTGTGACATAAGAAGAATGGAAAAAGACTTCGTTTTTTCTTCTTACTTACGTCGTTCATTGATGTTATCTTGTACTAACAACATCGATGTCGTCAATATTCAGCTTTAGTATGACCAGTTACGTTGATCAAAAGTAGCAGCAGTCTTTGACATCGAGTATTCTGCAGCAATTGATACCGCTGTAGGCTTTACAAAGAAAATTGATAGATAAAAACACGATAAAGACTGCCTTGCTCGTTTCTCTTTGATATTGCATTGTGCTCTCAGATATTTTTTCACAGGAGACATAAAATATGATGAAAAGTTCACGACTCTACTGAAAAGTGATGTGCGAACTCTTCCGACAATAAATCAAGGTAAAAGCTGAAATCTCAAGCATGAAATGCACAAAATTTGATCAATTCTAGTAAATCCAATAGTTCAAGGCATGAAAGAATGCTAAAAATTCACTGAAATTCTATGCAGAATTGAATTCAATTTAGCCTCAAGAATTATTCAAACATTCAAAGCATTTCCAGCATACAAATTAAGCCAAGATGACTGCAAGAAGTCGGAAGTCCTGTAAATCCTGTGCGTGCGTGTATGGACAGGCGAGCAGAAAGAGATGATAATTATTCATTCATCCACACGATTACTCTCGATCATCTCGTTTTGGCAACTTTAAAAAGAATATTTCGTTCTCATGAGCAAATGTATGTTCATCGTTCGTTTAAACGTGTTCTAGTTCTTGCATTGTCATCCAATCCAAAATGATCAATTTGTTAGTGCCACTGATGGAATACTCGGATGCTAAATGAAGATTAAAATGTTCCTTCTATTCTAATTAGCTTAAGATCTGCCCAGATAACAGAAGATATGCAGTTTGAGTCTCACGAAGGGTATCTTTTCCTTCATTCTATTAGTAGGTATGTATATATATACTCTTAGGCTGCAACCCTTTACGACTCACATATGATACTTACACACTTGTTATTGAAACAAGACTTCTTTGACGACGAAAACGAAGTTATTTAGAGATTCTCGGTAATTTAACAAACACGGCAATGACATATGTGAAAGATGGTAGGGCTACGTGAAGTAGGTACTGGGTCGGCCTGTGAAGTACCTTGGACAAACTATTTTGCAATGTCAATAAAAATAAGATGAACTTTTTAGAAATTGACTACCGATTTTATGCATAGTTGATTGAAAAACTTTTGAGAGATCTTAATTATTACATTATCATGAACGTTCTAAAAAATGATGAAGATGAAAACATAGTAAATGTGAGAATACAACAAATATGATGCGTAGTTCACGGTCTCATGAATACAATAAGACAGATGGGTGTAGAAATAGAGGAAACCTCATATATCAAAATCAGAGAACTGTTTTTCGATAATCTATAGTCTGCCTCTTGATCAATTCAGTTGTCATCATCACCATAGTCACCTCTATTATAGTCATCATTTTTGTATTCGACACCACCGTGACTATGTTCGTCTGATGATCTTCGTCTTATCCTTATCAAGTCTCAACATAAATATTAGAGAAAAAAATTGTCTCCATTCCACTCAATCTAACTATTACCGCTTGATGAACTGTCACAACCCATCGTGTTGCGTTACTTCCGACGATTATAAAATGTTTTAATGACTGGTGAAAAGTATTTATATGTGTAGAGCACAAAAAAAGAGAAAGAGAAAAAGGATTCTGTGGTTGAAAAAACCAAGGGCGTTACTATGTACAATATGAGAAACACTTACTGTCACTTAAATTGTCAGTGCTCATAGCCGATCATTTTGTACACTTTTTTTGCTTTCGTAAACGTCATGTTTGTATGTGAGTTGAAAGCGAATACATTATAGAAAAATAATGCTTTTAAGAGTATCGCCATCCCCTCTCCCGTTTTTTACGGGGTTTCTGGAGAGAGGTTCATCAGAAAATTTTGAAATTTTCAGAGCAGATAGATCTTGATGAGTACAGCAAAAGTTGTCATAGACACAAAATTCCTGATGCTGTGTTCTATGAGATAATATAGTCACAATGGCGAAATACGAACCTTAGTTTTCATTCGCATTGGTCCAAGACGGTATTTTCGATTGAGCTGAAATTTTTTTTACAGGTACTAGACACTGTTTGGGATAGGAATTCTTTTTAGTTTCTTTTTTATCTTTGGTCGTTCCAATAAAACACTTAAAATACCGACTCTACCCTAAAAAATGCTTGCTTTTATTATTAGAGTAAATTTTGTGAAAGCTGCCAAAAAATACGAGAGCAACGATTCTTGAAAAGAAAAAAGTACCCATTCTAGATAATGAATAGAATATGTGAAAAAATTTTCAACTTGACCCCTTTTACCGTATCAAAAACACGGGAGCGAAACGCTACTTTTTATGTTAAAAATTTGATTTTGAAAAAAACACAAAAGAACATACAATTTTCGCTATTTTCCTTATGTAAATTTGATTTCTTCTCGAATTTTTTAACCTGTAAAGGCAATGCTTGGATCCCAAAATATACTTAGTAGATAGATACTACTTGAAACTATACAATGATCACAAAAAAGCCAAAACAAAAATTTTCAGCGAGGAAAGAGGAGGTTACCCTTGATATTTTCAGATACCGAGGTACTTTTATTTTAGCTTCAGGATACTGCGATTAGTCTCTTGGATGCGGGTGTGAGGGTGGGTTTGGCTTGAATTGATGACGGGATGAATAT